GGAGGGGAAGTCAGGCGGTGGCCCAGGGAAAACAACAACTGTTAGGCTCATCTTACAACACTTTAGAGTGTGTCAGTGTGTTGTGGGCTGGATCCCTGCTGACCCCAGTGACAGCCAGGGCTGCCACTGCTAGGGCCCTGTGATGGGATATGGTGGATTAGGGAGGGCCCACGTTGCCCCTGCTATCCCTCATGTACTGGCTGGCAGTCCTCTCATCACCTCTCTTGCCTGAGGAAGTGTTTGTTTTGCTGAACCAGGGACTGGGCTTTACTAACTGTAGGACTGCATATGTGTTGCTGCCCCGCCCTGAACCAAGGCCTGGACCTTACTAATTGTGGGACCGTGCTTGTGTTGCTGCCTGCTCTGTAGTCAGGGCCCTAGGGTTTAAAGGGAACCGCTGGACATTTAGTTCCAGGTCTGAGCACAGGTCAGGAACCCAGGACCCAAGTGGCCAGCTTACATCCTGCCATAAATAAAGAAAACATTGAAACCTTTTGTGTTGGACATAAATTAATATTTTGTTATTTAAAATGAAGTTTTATCAATTAACATGAGAATTAAAATGCTTAATCTGTTTAATAATTAAAATTAAACCGTTACCCATAGTTGCAGCACTAGCAAAATGGCTTGGGTGTAATTATGTAATTAACGGTGACTTTCCATTAGCAACTGGTGGTCCACAGAAAGGTCTAAACTGAGCCAGGTGGTCCACAGGCCAAAAAGTTTGAGAACCACTGAAATAGTCACAATCATCTCTCACCCTGAGAGACCATTGCAGACTCCCTGCTGCTCCACAAGAGCCCACAGAGAGATCAGGTCTGTTATCACCGCGGTGAAATCACTTTGTCGCTCTGGTATGGATGATGGTGAGACTCTTCCTCATCCAAACAGTTGAGGATTTAAACAGTGTGTTAAGATGCCACTTGGCGCATCCAGACAGGCAAGCTGTATCATCTCTCTCCAGAGACAGGACTGTCATGACTTGCGTGTCTAGGTGAACAAGCCCTTTGTGAGCTCTGAGAAGAGGTGAGATATTTTGACTTCCAGTTTCAAGGGATTTGTTCTTCTGTCTTTGGGCTGCATGTTGTCTAGACGTCAATAGAGTTAGCGGTGACAATGCATTTCTGAGTTACTGACACACATAGCTAGTGTTGTCAGGGTGCGTGGCTAATGTGTCCCTGATTCTGGTTCCAAAAATATGGTCACCTACATACTACTGGATTATGTTGCAACATCCACACTGCTATTTTTAGCATTATAGCTCAAGCAGTGCTAACACACATCTGTCTACATAGGCTGGAGAAAGTATCTAGCTTTCATGTCTGAACTGCGTGTAACTAATGCAGTATTGTTTTCCTGGGTCTGCAGATAAATGTGACCACCTTTGTTACATTTAATCTCATTGCACTGCCACAATGTAAAGTGAATAACACATTTATGTTAGCATCACTATTGTATTGCTAATCGTTTCAGATCATAGAACGTGGAAATGGAAGCTCAGAGTTTGGTGGAAACTGGGACTTGTTACAAGGCAAGAAATGCAGAGGGAGGAAACGAGACACACACAGTTATACCTGGCTCTTTATCCCCTTCTAGTTGCTAGCCCATATACAGAAGTTTGAGTCTGCTGCTGCCTTTGAGTTACACCGTATCCCTTAAAAACAACAAGCAGTCCTGTGGCACCTTAGACTAACACATTTATTAAATCATGAACTTTCCTAGGTAAAACCCACTTCATCAGATGAGTTGGAGCAGAAATTACAGAATCATATGAAGAAGTGGGTTTTACCCACTAAAGCTCATGACCTAATAAACATGTTAATCTCCAAGATGCCACAGGACTGCTCATTGTTTTTAAAGTTACAGGAAAACATGGCCATCCTGCTAAGACTTTTTACATTATCCTTTAGATAAGCAGTAGAAGCAGGTGGGATTTTTTGATCCTGAAGTCCCAGGTACAACCCTGACAAGATATAGCATTACAAGTGAGTGTGACAATCAGGTACAGTACTGGCCAAATATTAAATGGTAATATTCAAAGCTGTTATATATTCTACCACTGATGTTTGGACAAACTGTACACCAAGATCTAGTTACCAAAATTTGCCTGTTAAAGGGAGGATTGCTCCAACTTGCCAGAGCCCTTCAATGAAAGGCATACTTTCTGCAAAGATTTTTTTAAAAGAATGCTTATGATGGCTTTATTCTGCTTACTCTTTCATACTTGAGCTTGCCTTTGCCTAACCTGTATTTCCCAGAAGACGCAATCCAGGACTAGAGAACTAGTAAAATGACAACATCACAAACACCAAGACAGATGTAATCTCACTCAGGAGTGATTCAACATTCCTACCCTCCATTGAAAGAGACATGAAAGGTCCCACTGTAGTTCACTAGTGCAGAGCAAAAACAAACAAACAAACTTTTGGTGGTAATTATTTTGAGGGTTAAAAACAAGTAGAATAAATAAAGTTTTCAAGCCTTTCATCATCAGGCAAAAAGGGAATGATGCAATTCTCTCTCTCTCTCTGATTATCTTTAGAACAGGTATGTTTTTTGCAGAAGATGACCAGAAGCCTTCATCTTTGGGGTGTGTATTAGTTAATTGTTATCCATAGGTATAACTTTCTTATGCTCTTGCTTTAAAAATTGCCTCTTAAAATATTGCAGAATTTTAGGATTACTGTATGTGTGTATGAATGCTCAGCCTGAATATCTAGTTCTGTTGTTTGTAATAAGGCTTTCCTGGCAGAATCAGAAGTCATTGGAAAATAATAGTGAAGTGTCAATTTCTTACTTATCTAAACACCAAAACAAAAAATGTCCATTATTAATCATGGAACTTTAGTCTGCTACACTTACGCACCTCTAATGTTATCTTTAGCTGACAGTTTTGTCTGGCAATCCACAAGAGACTAACTCTTGCACTGCAATGATTTTACCACTGTATCTGTTTTGTATCTTCACACATCTGGTCATTTTTTTTTTCAGTAAATAATTAAATTGAGTATTTATAAACATACTTCTAGTTTGTTTAAAAAAAAAGTTTAAAAAGTCAGAAAAGATGCTCGGCACTCCCTGAGACGTGACACCTAGAAAATCCTACCGAACAAACTTCACTCCTGCGGCAGGGCCTGCTGGCCAAGGGAACCTGACTCCCAGCGAGCTGAGACGGTAGCCAAGCCGGCCCCACCCTCCGCTTAGAAATCGCGCAGCGGACCCAACACAGGCTGCTTGCAGCGCATCCAACGGGAGCGAGGGAACCCGGACTCCACCCCTGTAACACAGGGTCCCGCCCCGGGCCTGCGTGCGGCAGCGGGGAGCCGTGCCCAGGGCTGAGTCTGCTCTCCTCCCCCTTTAAAGCAGCACCGCCCTTTTGGGCTTTAGCCGCGCCACGCCCCAGGCAGGCAGCTCTCTCCAGCTTGGCGCTGGCAACCCCGGCTCCTCCCACGGTGCGGGCTGGCTGTCAGAGGCAGCCCCAGTCCCCCTCCCCCCGTGCTGCCTCCTCCATGCCCAGGGCTCAAGCAGGTTTTTACATTCACAACTGACCCAGCAAACCTAGGGGAGCCAGGGCTCAGCATGGGCACAAATTAAGCCCGGCACCGCTCATGCCCCCACGGCCCGGTCTCCCCCTGCACCAAGGAGTAGCACCCCCCCCTTAGTGTTAAGCCTGCTGAATCCAGCCCTGCCCTCAGGGACAGCCCTCTCCCCAGGGCTGGGCTCCCCTCTCCCTTGCTACAGGCTCCCCTGGGCTGGGCTCCCCTTCTCCCCGGCTGCAGGCTGCGCTGCGCTGGGCTCCTCCTCTCCCTTGCTGCAGGCTCCCCTGGGCTGCGCTCCCCTCTCCCTGGTTACAGGCCCTTAGTGTTAAGCCTGCTGAATCCAGCCCTGCCCTCAGGGACAGCCCTCTCCCCAGGGCTGGGCTCCCCTCTCCCTTGCTACAGGCTCCCCTGGGCTGGGCTCCCCTTCTCCCCGGCTGCAGGCTGCGCTGCGCTGGGCTCCTCCTCTCCCTTGCTGCAGGCTCCCCTGGGCTGCGCTCCCCTCTCCCTGGTTACAGGCTGGGCTGGGCTCCCCCTCTCCCTGGCTGCAGGCTCCCCAGGGCTGGGCTCCCCCTCTCCCTGGCTGCAGGCTCCCCAGGGCTGGGCTCCCCCTCTCCCTGGCTGCAGGCTCCCCAGGGCTGGGCTCCCCCTCTCCCTGGCTGCAGGCTCCCCAGGGCTGGGCTCCCCCTCTCCCTGGCTGCCGGCCCCCCCGGGCGGGGGCGCCCCCC